TTTGGTTACAAGGCTCTGATCTATCCGTACCTCTGGCTAGACTGAGCTCCCACTGTGTAGGTAGGCATTACACAAAGCCACTTTTCCTGTCCTGTGATGACTCCTATGATCTGAAGGAAGAGGAAGACGACTTAATGCACATCACAGAAATCACTCAGTGTGATTCTGTTTAAATGATCTGCATGACAGAAATCAATGCCTCTGTGCACAGTAGGTATGACAAATCAAAGTAACTTAGGACAAAATGCCTGTGTTATACTGGCAGATGGAAAGTGAACAATCTGTACAAAACAGCGTTTCTCAGGCAAAAATAAACTGAAACGTTACTTAAGAAAGATTATGGAAATTTAAATAAACAAAAGCTTCTGTATTACAATCTACCATGCCATTTTTATAATTAAATGAGATGTGCTTCGCACTTTCACACAACATTAAGATGACTATGAAAACCACCGGCTTACCTCTCCACACGTTCATACTAGTGTTACTCTGGTCCACTGACTTCAGTGGAGTAACACCTGATTTACAGTAATATAAAGCAAGAGGAGAGACAGACCTGAAGACTGGAAATAAACTTGAGGTTTTTGATGAAACATAATCCTCAGCATGAGATACAAAAGGTGACTTTCCTGACAAGTGCTACCCAAATTCTTAATAGGTTTCTGCATGTAACCCCACCTCATTTCATCCTGACATAACCTTAATTAGTCTTAGTTCTACTGCAGAGAAGCCTACTGAGGCAGTTAGCACCATATAATTAATCAGACATTTTGCACGCATCACAGCAACCAACAGTGTCAACTTACTGATGTGAGTTAATACAAACAGAAATCAACCCTGCCTTTCCCTTTCACATGAACTAAAAACATGTGGCATGGAATGAACATACGACTATTTCTTCTATACACTGCTGAACGTCCTTTCTTCCCTTAGCAGCCATCTCCTAATGCATCATTACTCTCTGCAAAGTATAATTTATTTTTTCTGCTGGTACTAGGAGAAGAACATGCAATTTGATATTTCACTTAAATTTCAGTTTCTTCACAGAAAAATAAGTCCAGCAACTGAAATAAGCAATGATAAGACATAATTCTTGCTACTGGAATTCATAAATCTCACATTTTATTTTTCTTTCAGTCTGCTTTAGCAGTTTTTAAGAAACTGAATTTTGCACCTGGACATAAATATATATTTGAGAGCACAATCTGCAACATTCACTCATCTCATAGCAACAGAAAAAAACGTACTTACAAATACAAGCATACACAACGTACACACAAACTCACCGGATTAAAAGCTTCACCACCTATCTATGTAATTGTAGATCTTAACTTTATTCTATTGTTTGAGATTTCTCTTTTGTCTTCATTGCTGGAGGCAAACATCACAGTATTGTGACTAATGTCACCAAGTGGGAAACCATATGATTATATGATTTGATGGCAAAGAAGAAAAAAGCCACTGCTTAAGGAAAACAATTTTATAAAGCTGATTCTCCATTCTCCTAAGCTTAAGCTGAAACAGTTCAATAAGCAGTATAAAACCACAAGAAGGTTTATTCAGTTTTGTATGGCATCTGTAATATGCTGTGGTACTTATTAAAAGTAAATGTAATGTTTAATACATGGCAGTGTTTTGCTTCAGCAGAACACTGTAAAACTACCTGCAAGAACAATTTAGTCTGTAACTAATATTCAACACAAGAAATAGTAGTCCAATGTTTTGCAATTTCTTAGATTCTCAGGAAAAAACAGTGAGATAATGATCTTCATAGAAAGGTAGTATTTAAATGATAGCTTATTTCAGAAACTGACATTAAACTGCTTAACACCTTCTCTCTACAGTGCTTGTGCCCCAAAGCAGTCAAGTATCTAAGATAGGAATTACTAAAAATTGTGTGTGGTGGGTTGACCCTGGCTGGAGGCCAGGTGCCCACCAAGCCGCTCTATCACTGCCCTCCTCAGCAGGACAGGGGGGCAGAAAATAAGATGAAAAAACCCCCTCATGGGTCAAGATAAAGGCACTTTAATAAAGCAAACGCCACGCATGGAAGCAAAGGAAAACGAGATTTATTCTCTACTTCCCATCAGCAGGCGACGTCTGGCCACTTCCCGGGAAGCAGGGCTTCAGGACACATAGCAGTTGCTCCAGTAGATAATGTAAATAACAAATGTCCCCCGTTCCTCCTCCTTTCTCTTAGCCTTTATTGCTGAGCAGACACCATATGGCATGGAATATCCCTTTGGTCAGTTTGGGTCAGCTGTCCTGGCTGTGTCTCCTCGCAAGATCTCGCCCACCCCCAGGCTACTGGTGAGGAGCACAATGTTGGAGAGCCAGCCCTGACGCTGTGCCAGCACTGCTCAGCAGCAGCCAAAACACCGGCGCGTTATCAGCAGCTTTCTACAACGCAGAGCCCAATGAGGGCTGCTATGGGGAAAATTAACTCCATCTCAGCCAGACTCAATACATCCTGACAGCTCTAGTGTTTCCATTTCCAATGGTATCTCAGCATAGGAACGTGCACAGCCTGTTCACTACCCGACACAAGAAGTCATTCACCATTATTATTGTTCAACCCCTTAGGATTTTTTTTTTTATTTGAAGGCCTATCACAAGAAATTAGGCAGCCTACTGGAATTGCCAAATGTTTCAGGTGCTGTCATCCACGATTACTGCTCATCAACTAAAGGAACCTAATGTATATTTCTCAGTACCTAACTGACCTGCCTCTCCCTCTTATATGAATCTTCTTAATTTATTTTAATGCTGGAAGAATATAGCAATTGTAACTCTGGTAAGACTGCTACCAAGTTTGTTTCAACCTAACTAAACTAGCAGTAACTGAAGATAATCAACCGTTCATTTTTGTTCCTGTTTCAGCAGATGGCAAATATGTTACCAAACAACAGCAAGGTGGATATATGTACAGGAAGGAAAGATAAGATGAGGTAAGTTTATCCCAACCAACTCAAAGCCCATCACATCAAGCCACCTATATGCACTGATGCCTCTTCCATCCTAAAGACGAAGCTGTCCGTTATCTTCCAACCCTGAGACACATTTTATAATCCACAGTTACCTGCGCTGTCATCTAATTCAGATTTCATGCTCTGACGCTTAGTCTGAATGTCTGATGTAACATACGGCTAGCATAACATGCATGCGGGCCACAGTAGGTTCACAATGTGATTTTGATTAATAATTGTAAGATTGAGCAGGATATGAATGGGAAGTCAAGACAAAGGGCAGAAGGCAATAGGGGGAAAGTCAGATTCCTGGGGCTAATTTCGCCAGCAAGAGCTGTGTTTTAACCTGTGATTAAAATCCTGGTATGAACAAGGCAAAATGAAGCCTAGACACAACCTAAACTGTTCCAAAGGGATTAGTCATCATCATAAGCTCGTGATTAGACTGTGTCTACCTAAAGATTCTACACACCGTGAACTGTTGAAAAATGCAAGTCTGAGGAGACATCATGACTTCCGTTACTATTTCAGCCTGATAGTTATATCATCTAGACAAGTTCTAGTGAAACTCCCACTGTTTTGGATGATTTTTCCAGTCTGGAGTGCCAAATTTCTTAGTAGGCATGATCTTGGATGACTGATGCATCTCCTTCCAAAGCAAACTTTATTAGCCTTAATCATGATAAGTTTCATCAGTCCTGGAACATATGATGTTTTACTTTATCACATGCTGTAAGCTTATCGCACTTGGTCACATCAAACCTTTCTTTCTCAGACAAATGGCATATTCACAGGAGCTTTAATTTAAAAGTGGACTAAACTAGAAATATGGATGTTTGGGTAGTGGTTTTAGAAGATTTAAAAACTAATGGTATTCTTAACTTCTCCATACTTTCCTACTTGATCTCATAGCTAGCATTTTTCAACACTAGAAACATTTAACACCTCCAAATCTCTCAGAAAATCAAGATTAAAATGTACAGTATGTCCCTAATTGGGTGATGCTTCAGTGTGAAGATTGATCTTTACCACTATGCAGTAGCCTAGGGTATCAGAACTTTGTCATGGGAGCCGGGAACGGAATCTAAGCTTCTTCGGCTCTAACCCAGACCCCTTTGATCTTAAGAATGTCTTGGAGTTGTTAACCATAAAGCTGGTGAGAAGGGCTGTGATGTGCACAGCCTGATTTTTGCATCTATGTGATGCAAAAAATGCTGCCCAGATGAAATCTGTAACCAAGCAAATTCCCTAC